CATCACCCCACTGATATTTCCTGTGAACAACTCACCTTGGCCTAAACGGAAACCAGGCCCTCCGATCCAATCCACAATCTTGGTCCCTCTCATTCCCCTGGGCCCATTTCCAAGAGTAGTCCTCCACTGGTACAGAATAAACAGTGTACATACCAGACTTCTTCTGAAGGTCTTTGTTTTTAATGAAGAATGTTACATGAACTATTAGCTGTATAGAATAAAGATGCACCTTACTTAAACACGTTTCAACAGTTTTTGTAGTAAGGAAGGGAAGAGAAACATGGAGTGACCCATAGCCTAGCAGAGGGTAGAACATTGTTCTGGCATTCTCCAAAGGAGGAATGCAATCAGTCTTATCTCACCAAGTGTGAAATGCCTTTATACCTCCCCCAAAAGGGAAAATGTACATGGAATAGCTCCCTGGCTACATCAGTCTGTTGGATAGGTGCAGCGTGGTGCAGCAGAAGTAATCACACAGTGCGTGGAGTGCAGTAACCAATGTATTGAAGGACTTGCAAACAGTACAACAGCCCAGCAGGGAGCTCAGCCAATGCAGCAGAGAGTCAGCAGGAGTAGGCCTGAGCTGAAGACATTGTTCGCCATGGAAGGTGGAATGTGGCCTAGTTGGTCCAACCCAAGGGGGAGCTTAAGGGAGTGAAAACGTAGGTCCTGAGCTTTCAAGAACTCCTCCAGAACCTCTCCTTGCCATTAGTGCTGTCCCTGACAGATGAGTGTACTCTCCCTACACTAGCCACTGAGCAAATGCACGCCAAAACCTAGGGACAGGGGCTTAAAAAGACTATGCATGACCCAAAATGACCATCAGGGTCACCTGGATGCAGTGTAGCTAACTGGCGACCAAGGAAACCATAGAAAAAGCAAGTGTTCCTTGACCTCCCCTCCAGCTGCACAACCCTTCTGGATGAATGCCACCTACAGTGGAGAAAACAGATTGCACCTGTCTACAAATCCTATAGATAAGTCCTAGATAAGAAATGCTGTTGCTTCTTCCCACAGGCTGAAAGCCCAATCCATTAACCTATGTATTGCATATAGCCCTCTAGGAATATCCCAAATATCCCAGACTGGTAGGGCATTGTTGTCAAGCAACCTAAGGTGGTGTGCCACCTTAAAGGGCTTTATCACAATCTTTGCTCAAGCAGCAAGCACTTAAACTAGTAACGTCAGTAACAAGTTGAATCTGTGAACAACAACAGCATCTCCACTGCACCCTTCAACAAAACTGGAAAACTAAAATGTGCTATTGGAGGCTGCATAGAGTATACTTTACATAATGGATGATTTTTTTTACTGCACAGCCCATCAAATAAGAGAAAGGAAATCTTGAGGTTACTATCAACCCAACACAACCTGTACCCCTTTTCCCACACAGTTATTGAGCTAAATTTATGCACAAATGCCCAGAGGTAGCAAGATGAAAGAAAGGAAGGAAAATGTCATCACTGTTTGGAAATGTTAAGGTTTGGTACTGCCTCAGGCAGTGCCCATATGGTACCCACAGCCATGATACACCCTGGAATTTTTGTAAATAACTAAACATATCAGTCCATGTGGTCCAGCCATTTTATTCTGCAAATAGGCAAACATTCCGAAAGTTACAGTGTTGATATTACTATAGAGCTTTTCCATACAACTTTCCACCCACATAGTGTAATATCTGTATTTTAACATCTAAGTCAGTCCAGACAGTCATTGTTCAATTCTCATGTATAATATAAACCTATATATAATTTGTTTTAAAGCTAATTCATTATATATATAAACAACACTAGGACTTATTTATCAGAATTACTGTTACTATTTCCATCCAGCAACGAATCAGCTGCATCCCAATGTGGTTCTGGTTCGGGCCTAGAGCAATAAATGATGGAAAGGATGTGACTGCTACAAGGCAGCAAATTCATTTTTTGGACACTTCATTTAATTATGAAGCATATTCATATAATCTAATTTACAGTTTTAACTTGAATAATAGTATAGTGTACTCTTCAGAGATCTGAGCATGACATGCAATGTGCTCTACATGCACAGTTTCTGTAAGGCTATTTTCCCACTGAACCTCCACAAGAACATGGCAAAAATGCATATGCGTTTTTGCTGTGCTTTCTGAGCGTATTTTAAAGGACACATGACATAAAAACTGCACCAAAAACGCTTCTTGGAGCCATCTTTGACGCAATTTCCATTGGGGTAGGAGTTTTTACACTGCAACGGAGGCACAACGCCCCAGTGTGAAGACATACATAGGCATACATTGACATACAGAGGGAAGAATTGTTCTTGAGCTTTTCAGGCGCATTTTTTAACTGAAAAGCACTTCAAAAACTCCTCAGTGTGAAAGTAGCCTCAAAGCAGTGGGATTGTAAGCAATATATAAAACCAATTATGACATTTCTAATGCTATCTATGAACATGGAAAATGTGCTTATAGTGGATCTGCTTTTTTTTTTTTAATAATTTTTTTCATATCATTATTTAATAATCATCATGTTCACATTACACCCTTTCCCAGTAGTGCATACCTTCCTTTCACTACCCTGCAAGTAAGCTGTATCAATATGTAGGTGAATATGTACTATCAATATGTAGGTGAAGGTATCAAAAAACTTACTCCTGTACTCATTAAAATCCTCCCCTGGCTCTGGGATATATGTTCAATGCCACCAATCGATTGAGTAGTCCCTGCTGTACAGTCTTGAGGAAGTGATACAGCTTCTGCCCCAACATTACCCTAGGTTTACGTATATGTGGCCGTGCGGGCTGCGTTTTGCATGGGCACGAGAGCCCATTCATTTGACTGGACTCCCGTGCCCGGTGACACACAGGGAAGACGTCCCTGCACTTCTTCTAAAAACGCAGCCTGGACGGGAACCTCGGTTTCCAGTACAGCTGCGTTTTCCAGTGTGAGTGGCGTGCCATTAGAAATAATGGCACCGGCCCGCGTGTCCGCATTCCTCTGTGCGGGTGGTGTGGCTGCATGCTCATGCGGATCCACAGCAGCACCACCTGCACAGATGTGAACCTAGCCTTTATTGCATTTTCAACACATTGAGCACCATTGGCACACTGAATGTTATTGTCATTGACACACCCTGCTGTAGAATGCACACTGAGCACACTTTGACTGCCACTGTTTCATTTTCTCTGAGGAGCACATGAAACATGTATACTGAAGCAGCAGACGAACTAGAGCAAGAACAGTGAGGATTTCAAAACTAATAAAGTCAGTGGCATTGCTGATCCACTGAATATACCAAATACACATCATGCAATTTTTATTTGTGCCAACATTCCCGATCACCCACTCATGGCCAGTCTGTGTCCACACTACTGTAATACAGTAAACCTGTACTGAGAGAAATATGGGAATTACCATTGTTGACCTCCTTCTATAAAAGTTTTGTAAAGGGGTAGAATTATACATTTCTCTTTTTCACATATAACCTTTTTAATGTGCGATAATAGTCTGCTAGCCTTGCTTGCTGCAGCTTGGCATTGCAGGTCTACAAGACAATGCGTGGCATGACAACAATAACTCTCAGATCCTTTTCAATCCTGGATTCCCCCCAAAGTTCTTCTACTAGCAAGTAACTTATCTTCATAATTTTAACCCCCAGGTGCATTACTTTACATTTTTCAGCATTACATCTCATATGCCATGTAGCTACCCACCATTCTATTTTAACAAGGTCTTCTTAAGTTGCTATATCCTGTTGTTAAATTGTTGCCCTGCAAAGCTTGGTATCATCGGCAACCAATGAGACTGAATTTCTTACACCAACCTCTATATCAGTGGTTCTCAACCTTCCTAATGCCGCGACCCTTTAATACAGTTCCTCATGTTGTGGTGACCCCCAACCATAAAATTATTTACCCAGTAATTATAATTCATGAAGTATAGTTTTACCTCCAATACTGCTGCTTTCTACACAGTAGCTGCTTTCTACACAGTAGCTGCTTTTTACACTGTAGCTGTTCTTTACACATCGGAAATGTGTTTTCTGATGGTCTTAGGCGACCCCTGTGAAAGGGTCCTTCGACCCCCAAAGGGGCCACGACCCACAGGTTGAGAACCACTGCTCTATATCATTTATGGACAAGTTAAACAGAGTTGGTGTCAAGGCAGAGGTCTGGGGTACCCCACTCTTAACTGCACACAACACTCTTGGATGTGCTACTGCAATCCACGTGCATACAATTTCTTAAATGCCAACAGATCTTAATTTGTAAATAAAGCGTTTATGGGGGACTGTATCAAATGCCTTAATGAAATCTAGATACACTATATGCATAGGACTTTCACTATCGACATTACAGCTCACGTCCTCATAGAACAATGATAGATTGTTCTGACAAGATTAGTCCTTGATAACTCCATGCTGGTTGCCACTAATAATACCATTTTCACTTTTTCACAAGCCTTTGCCCTTGTGTTGGTGCACTGATCTGCATTGTGTTTAGTACACCGATTCATTTTCAGTGAGCGATCAGCACATGTCCATTGGCCTTGTGCTGAGGAGCAGGTTGTTTTGCCTACGCATGTGCGATGCAGTGTCATTAAAATTAAATGGAGATGTACCACAATGCTCATAGACCACGTGTTGTACAAAACATGCTCGCTAAAGTGTGATGACAGCCTTAACCCAGCTTCTGAACATTAAACCCTTTTCATCCTTATTTTTCCTTATAATTATTAAACTATGGAAAAGTTTTACCCCCCAAGAAGAGTAATAAAGTGTTAAATTTATAAATAGCAGGCACTTGTTTTCAAGCAGGTATCCTTAATTAGTCAAATTTCTTTACAGGTGTGTACCTGCATGCTTAAAAAAAACCCTTTTAAGACAGTCCTTTTTTAAATCTGGAGTCCTTTTGTGTCCACTCTTTTTAAACAAAATTGGAACAGTCCTCAGGAAGAGGTTTGGCTGCAAAAAAATTAAAATCTAGTGCCAGGGATCTGGGTTGACCCTTGAAGTGCAACATTAACAGTCGCCGTTGATCACTGTCCGTTCTCCGTTCAGAAGGCCTTGTGTCTCCTCGCTTTGCTCCTTGCATCGCGCACACATAAGTGGCTTGTGGAGTCCATTGTAAAGGCAAGTTCCCAGCAAGAGGACAATAAAGCCTAGAATCTGCAGTGGATGGAACTGCTCCCAACCCACAGCTAAGCTGACGACCCAGATGACCACAGTCCTCAGGCTGTCTATCACCATGCGGGTGGTGGCACTGATCTCCTTGGTCACACTGATGCCAGCAAAGTTGAAGAAGGCGATGCTGATGATATTACCCAACAAGGCCAGGATGATTAGAGGCTGTCGACCCATCTGGCAGAAGGCATCTATTGAGTCTTCTAGAACTCCGCGTTCACTGCTACTGAAGCCACCGGCAGGAATGTAGTAGAAGGGGATCAACAGGATGGTCAGAATGATAAACCCAAAGAGACCTAAACAGAAAATATTCATATTAATGAAGGAAAACCATAATGTGCTTTCAGCAAGAGATCATGTTAAAGTTGAACTTCAATCAAAGAGCTAAGTACTCCACCAGACTTTAAATAATCTACTTGAACCCCTCCAATCTGGTTTTCATCAACTGTGCAGCACAGAAACTGCCTTGGTCAAAGTCACTAATGACCTTCTGTTAGCTTCCAATTCTGGCTAACTATTCTTATTCCACTGGATCTCAGTTCTGCCTTTGATACTGTAGAGCACAATCTTTTACTCCCTCACCTTAAAACCATTTTTGGAGTCTCAGAATTGACTTTACAAGTCATATCTTACTGATCGCTGTCACTTTGTTTCTGTCAGTGGATTCCAGTTTGAAGTTGGGCAACTCAAGCTCAGTGCTCCCCAGGGCTCAACCATGAGTCCCTTACTTTTTAGCACTTAATTGTTTCCACTTGGCCAATTGCTTAGATCACATGGGCTCAATAATGACTTCTATGCTGGCGACACAGATATACATCAACACTAAACCGGACTCTACTTTGGCTGCTTCTCTCCTATCTCACTGTATTTGTGATATAAAAACTTGGATGGCCCATAATATCCTTCAATTAAATGGTGACAAGACTGAAGTCATGTTTATTGGTACCCCCCATAAATTGTGTAAAGCCAGTCCTGGTAGTCTATCCATTGACGACACTGTACTTGAGCTTTAGTTTAAATTAAAAAATCTAGGGGTGATATTTGATGCTATATTAACATTTGATCCCCATGTACAAAATGTTGTCAGAACATTTTTTCCATTTGAGAAACATTGCTCGGCTGCGTCCTATGCGTCACTAGCTGAAAAGCTGATCCATGCATTTGTGTTCTCCTACTTGACTACAATGCTACTCACTGGTGTACCTAAATCCACTATTGTCATGCTTATGGCACCCTCCATGCTATTATGTTGTGGTAGCCTGTCTATAAATGGCCTGTACTTGACTTCAGTCTAAATTGTCTAGGGGCAATAATGCTAATTTAAATTTTGATCCACATGTACAAAATGTTGTCTGAACACTTTGCTCTGCTGGTCCTACGCTATCATACACTGCAGCTGAAAAATCATGCATTTGTGTTCTCCTGATTGACTATTTGTTCTACTCACTGGTGTACCTAAATCCACTATTAATTGATTACAATATTTACAAACTTCTGCAGCCAGAATCCTCACTAGGTCTGTTACAATAACCATATTACCCCTATCCTGGAGTCCTTGCACTGGCTACCCATCAGGTTTCGCATAGACCTTTAAGATCCTCTTGCTCACCTATAATGCTCTTCATGGTTTGGCATTCCATTATCTGTCTGAACTCTTATCAACTTACTGCCCCTCTCATAACCTCCACTCCTCAAATTCTGGTCTTCTGTGTGTGTCCCCTACTCACCTACACTCGATGGGAGACAGAGCCTTCTCCTGCAATGCTCCAAAACTCTGGAATTAATTTATTAATTAGTCATCAGAGTCATCTTCTCTAAACTCATTTAAAGGACAAGTTCACCTGTTGTAACAAGTTACATGTTACACCCATGTTCAGGGTGTAACATTTCACGATCTGATCGGCCCCCGATCTCCACTTTGAAAGCTAACGAGATCTTCTTCCCCCCTGCTAGCTGTAAAATTTGAACAAATGTGGCCATGCAGGGCTCCGCCCGCCCGGCAGCATCACTCATTCACAGCATTCTGTGAATGAGCAATTACATGTCCCGACAGCCTTAGCGACTGTCGACTTGTAGTCCTCAATGAACTACATTGACTCTGTGGAAAGCTGTGGTAGTTCATTGATTCTTCCTGTTAGTATATATGCTTGCTCGTACATCTTGTAAGGCAAGCAGATATTCTGACAGGTCTGCAGGAGACCTGCATGGCACCAGTGATCTACTGATTGCTGGTGCAATGGTTTCCAGGCTCCTTTAGACAAAAATAATAAATGCACATTTTTTACCTTCAAAAAATGTGCATTTATTATTTTTGCTGAAAAGGTGAACTTATCTTTTAAATCAGATCTAAAAACTTTTTCCTTTAGACTTGCTTTCACCTAATGGTCCCTTTTTTTTCCTTTGTTTTATCCTGTGTTTTCTTTGTAAAGCACTTTGAGAAGCTACCTTTAAAGGTGCTATATAAACTAAAGTTTATTAATTGTTATTATTATTAGTAGTAGTATTATTACTACTTCTGTGCTGACGACACTCAGGTACACATACATCTACTTTGGCCGCTCCTCTCCTTTCTAAGTGTATTTGTGATATACTGTAAACACTTGTATGGCCCACAACTTCCTTCAATTAAACTGTGAAAAGACTAAAGTCATGCTTATTGGCACCCTCCATCTATTATGTAAGGCTGGTCCTGGTAGCCTGTCTATAAATGGCACTGTACTTGAGCTTCAGTCTAAATTGAAAAGTCTAGGGGCAATATTTGATGCTAATTTAAATTTTGATCCACATGTACAAAATGTTGTCTGAACAACTTTGCTCTGCTGCGTCCTACGCTATCATACACTGTAGCTGAAAAGCTTATCCATACACGGGCTCTTTTACCACTAATCTCTGCAGTTTTCCAGGTTTACCAATGATTGGTACTCTTCTAGGAGCTCTTATACCTGCCTAAAGATTTGTCATTTTGTCTATCCAATCCTAAGACTTCAAGAGCCAATCTGACTGTTCTCTGCTACAGTTAAGGCGTGGTCACCTCCCCATCTCCATACTGTGACTGGACAATGAAAGAGCAATAATGGACTGATTAGATTACATTTCTACTCTCTACTCCATTGTTTTTTTTTATATTTGATGTGATGATTATTACATTTGGCATACAGTTTTGCTTCTAGCAGTCCTGTGTATAACTCGGAATGTCTAAGGGACTGTAGTATCTAACAAGGCCTCTACATGGCAAGACAAAATGGCCCTCGCACCACTAACCCCAAGAGTTTAATAGACTCATTGTTGCCATTGGTTGGTCCTCCTCTTGAAGGCTCCTGGAGACAACAAGTCTGGTATATCTAAAGTAAACCTATCAGAAGCCCAGCCAGTGCATGGAAATTACAAAGGCTAACGTTACCCACAGTGACCACCATTTTTCACTTTAAAGTGGAATTAATTACTTCTGTTCTCTTACAGCAGAGGAAGGTACCATCTTAACCTCTGTTTGATCTGCAGCTGCCTTGGTGCTACACATGTGATCAGCTGTGCAGCTATGACAATAGCCAGTGGTGTATTTAGGTGTCGTGCTGCCCTAGGCAACACAAAAATTGGCTCCCCCCATGGAGAGACCCTGATACTGAGAAGCATCCCCCTCCCCCACGAAGGAAGCCTGACACTGACCAACAACACCCCAGCCCCCCACCACCACCCGAGAGAGCCTTCCACTGCCACCGACCCCCATACACTGGCAATGCCCCCCTTCCTCTTGACCCTGTGAGAGAGAACACACTCACCTTCACAGCTCCGGACATCCCCGGAAACAAGAGTCAGGCTCTGCATACACCATCAAGCAGCCCACAGCCTCTTTCAGATCCCACCTGGTCCCCATGCTGCATGTGTCCCTTCTTCCATCCCTTCGCTGCCCCCCTGAAAAATGCTGCTGACCCCCTGAAAGGTGCCGCTGCCCCCCTGAAAAATGCCGCCCTAGGCAAATGCCTTTTTTGCCTTGTGGTAAATACACCCCTGACAATAGCCATCTGAAGTTCAGTTGAGTGCTGAAATTAGAAAAGTAGTAAATGCAACAGTTGTCACCAGAGGCATGTCTTGAATTAGCTGATATAGGACCAGTGCTGTAAAAATAAGCCGGCTTAACTAGTTGCCGACCGCAGATAGCCGAATGACGGCTTCACTGCGGCCGGCCAGTTTCTGGGTGGACGTCATATGACGTCCTTCCAGAACTCTGCTCTCCTGCTGCCCCAGGGGGCGCGCACTGGTGATCTCGTGATCGCAATCCTACGGACACAGCTGATCACGAGATGTGGTAAAAGGCCGATCATACCGGCCTTTTACCACGTGATCAGCGGTGTCCAATGACACGCTGATCACAGGGAAATGCAAGTGCTGGTTCTTGGCTGCACTTTCCTCACACTGTCAGATCGTGAGGAAAGTACTGCCGAGAACCAGCAGTTGTCAGAGCGAGGATCGGCACCGATCATCAGGGCCACTGATGATCAGTGCCCTGATGATCGGTGCCCAGCAGTGCCACCCACAAGTTCCGCCTACCTGTGCCCAGCATGCGCCCACTAGCTCCGCCCACCTGTGCCCAGCAGTGCACCCACCCCGTGCCCAGCAGTGCAACCCACCTGTGCCACTCTGCAGTGTCACACACCTGTGCCCAGAAGTGCCACCTACCTGTGCCCAGCAGTGCCACCCACCTGTGCCCACCCACCTGTGCCCACCAGTGCCACCCACCTGTGCCCACCAGTGCCACCCACCTGTGCCCAGTGACCACCAGTGCTGCCCACCAGTGCCACCCACCAGTGCAGCCCAGCAGTCTGCCAGTCAGTGCCACCAAGTGCCCAGCGGTTGTGCCAGTGCCAGTGCCGCCAGTCAGTGCCCAGCAGTGATGCCAGTCAGTGCCATCTATCAGTACCCATCATCAGTGTCACCTATCAGTGCTGCATATTAGTGCCGCCTATCCGTGACACCTCATTAGTGCTGCCTATCAGTGCCGCCTATCCGTGCCACCTCATTAGTACTGCCTATCAGTGCCCTTTAGTGCTGCCTATCAGTGCCCATCAGTGCCGCCTATCAGTGCCCATCAGTGCTGCCTCATCAACGCACATCAGTGAAGGAGAAAAAATAACTGTTTGAAAAATTTATAATAGAAACAAAGAAACTTTTTTTTTTTTTCAAATTTTTTGCACTTTTTTAATTTATAGCGCAAAAAGTAAAGCGCCCAGCGGCGATTAAATACCACCAAAAGAAAGCTCTATTTGCCTTGAGAAAAAAATGATCAAAATTTCATATGGGTACAATGTTGCATGACCGCGCAATTGTCAATCAACAGTTGCAGCAGCGCTGAAAGCTGAAAATTGGCCTGGTAAGGAAGGGGGTATAAGTGCCTGGTAGGCAAGTGGTTAAAAGCATCCAGCATATCATCTTCTTGGCTTTTCTCCTTCTCTGTGTGTTGGCTCCTCCAGGAGCACGTCTCACTCATCCACTGTAATAAGCCCAGATCAACCATGTCTGCTGGTAAACATACAGGTTTCAGCTACAGTCCCTTCATCTTGGCCCCTCAAATGCATGTATCCCAGATTGGGCTTAGTCGTAGAGGTCCTCTACATTAGAGGGGCCAAGATGCGGGTAAAATGCATCAGATGGACATTGCCAGGATGCAGGGACTGTAGCTAAAGACTGTATGTTTACCAGTGGATGCGGCTGATCTGATTCATGTGCTGTCGTAGGACCGATGCTGTTACATGTAGCGGGTCACACGCTTGTCCGTAGTCTTTTTGGTATTTGATGTTTTGTGTATTTAGTATGTTCCTCTGCCGACCCCCCTTCCCCCAAGAAAAAACAAACATTATTTGCAATGGCAAGCTGCAATAAATTATCGTTGATTCTTTTCTACCCAGTACTTTTACATAATGTGTGCACAGATTGAATTCCAGGAGGTATGTCTTTTGTATAAATCAGTGGTTCTCAACCTTCCTAATGCTGCGACCCTTTAATACAGTTCCTCATGTTGTGGTGACCCCCAACCATAAAATTATTTTCGTTGCTAATTCATAACTGTAATTTTGCAGTGGGAGGAGTAGTGCCACATCATTGGTGTCAGTGAGAGGAGTAGTGCCACATCACTGATGTCAGTGGGAGGAATAGTGTCCCATCGTTGGCATCAGTGGGAGGAATAGTGTCCCATCATTGGTATCAGTGGGAGGAATAGTGTCCCATCATTGGTATCAGTGGGAGGAATAGTGCCCCATCATTGGTATCAGTGGGAGGAATAGTGTCCCATCGTTGGCATCAGTGGGAGGAATAGTGTCCCATCATTGGTATCAGTGGGAGGAATAGTGTCCCATCATTGGTATCACATGGAGGAATAGTGTCCCATCATTGGTATCAGTGGGAGGAATAGTGTCCCATCATTGGTGTCAGTGAGAGGAGTAGTGCCACATCACTGATGTCAGTGGGAGGAATAGTGTCCCATCGTTGGCATCAGTGGGAGGAATAGTGTCCCATCATTGGTATCAGTGGGAGGAATAGTGTCCCATCATTGGTATCAGTGGGAGGAATAGTGCCACATTGTTGGTGTCAGTGGGAGGAATAGTGCCCCATCATTGGTGTCAGTGTGGGAGGAATAGTGCCCCATCATTGGTGTCAGTGGGGGGGGGAATAGTGCCCCATCATTGATACTAGTGTGGGGGGAATTGTGCCCCATCATTGGTGTCAGTGGGGGGAGGAATAATGCCCCATCGTTGGTTGTCAGTGGGGGGAGGAATAATTCCCCATCGTTGTGTCAGTGGGGGGGGAATAGTTCCCCATCGTTGGTGGGGGGGGGGGGGGGAAATAGTGCCCCATCATTCGTGTCAGTGGGAGGAATAGTGCCCCATCATTGGTATTAGTGACACCAATGATGGGGCACTATTCCTCTTACTGACACCAATGATACTTACCTTGCTGACTCCTGCTCCAGCCTGGGCTTGCTCCCTCCTTCTCCCATCTACAGCCAGCATACCTGGCTGCAGCAGCACCATCTGCACGCTACAGACACTTACCTGTCAGCTGTCTTCCTTCTCCGGCCGCTCCTTTGCTCGATCTTCTTTGATCTTCGCGCTGCTGCTCGGCTCCTCCTCCTCGCCGGTGATTGGCCGCCTGTGTGCCTCTCCTGAGCTACAGTTCCGGCGGCCAATCACTGGCGAGGAGACGGAGCTGTTGAGTGATCCCGGGGATGTGGCCAGATGACAGGGGCGGCATGTCATCCCGCGCACACATCGCGTCCAGGGAAATGAGGACGTATCTGCATGTGGGAGGACCCGCCTGGAGACTGATAGAGGAGCGGTGTCTCGGTTCCTAAGACCATCGGAAATATGTGTTTTCCGATGGTCTTAGGAGACCCCTGTGAAAGGGTTGTTTGACCCCCAAAGGGGTCGCGACCTACAGGTTGAGAACCGCTGGTATAAATCAATATTTATATCAGAACAGTATCTAGAAGTACCTGTATTTCCTTCTGCTCTCAATGCTAAACATAGTGGCAGGGCAGTGAATAATGTGAGGATGAGGGGTGAGATTAAAGCAAACGTGCTGCTGTGGCCTGAATGGGCACAAAACTTATAAAGACAATATAGATAAATACCAAAAAATGTAGTAAACATTATTCCAGTTCACACAGCTAGTGGAGCACTACTTACCCTCAGTTCCCACAGCTCGGAGGGGATGCACGTTATGTTTGTAGACAAATTTTTCCTCTAGCACCATCTGGATAGAAGCAACAATCTGAGCCATGACAATAAGCAAATCACCTGGATGGAGAGAATAACAATAGAAAATATAATTTGCAGTACAAAAAAGTCTAAACTTTTGCAGTTTTGAGGATGAAACACACAGACCAAGGGTAGAGTATAGAAACTTCCCTTCATTAATCCAGCCGGATGTACAACAGCCACAAGACATTAGACACGTGATTGGTTGTAGGTCAGCCCGTGATCCCTGTGTTTTTTTATACTTCTCTCCTATGCTGGTTCCTGTACTTTGGAACTGCTACAAGGACAATTGTACTGTACATGAGTGTACTGATCCTTTAAAGAGCAAACCCTATTTTCTAGGCTTGTGGGTTTGATCCTTTGGGCTTGTGTAGACAAGCTTTGTGTTGAATTGTAGCGGTGCCAACCAAATACATGCTTTTGCTGTACTTGAATTGCTTTTTGCAACCATTTATGGTCCTATTGTAGCAGCAGGAACGCATCCCAAAAGGACAAGCTACATCTCCATATAATCAGCAGGTACTTTTTATTTTGTACTTGCAGAGAATCTATCTAGCCTTAAAGGTTATCTAAACGCAAAAACAAAAATGTAATGTATCACAGCATACCGGTTCTTAGATGTGGTGGAAGGAAGTCATGGATGTCACCCAGACATTACATGAGAAATGGGGAGATTAGTATTTTAGAGAAGGCATTGGGGGTTATTTATTAAAACCAGAGAGTGAAAAAACTAGTGCAGCTCTGCATAGAAACCAATCAGCTTCCAGGTTTTATCGTCAAAGCTTAATTGAATAGGCTGGAGCTAGAAGCTGATACAAGCACAGCTGCACCAGAGTTTGAGTGCGCCAGTTTTAGTAAATCTTCCCCACTTTTTATTCTTCCAGTTCATCCCACTGGAAGTGACAAAGGCACAGCATTTCTGGCAAGATCATCAGGTAGTTTCTCTACTTCTGTTCTAAGCTGGAAACAGAAAACGAATGCAGCCACTGCATCGAAGGATTGGTAAGCTTCACTATATTACATTTTTGCGGACCTGCTGGTATTGATCCTGGACTAAGCTTCTATCCTTCCCCTGGCACCATCTACATCCAGCTACTTTGACCCTTGTTTCAGGTAGGTCTGTCCTGCAGTTGACGTTCTGACATTGTACTGCTTATTCTGGTTTCACCTAGGACTGCTTGACCAACCCCTATGTTCTCACCACTTGGGCTACTACCATATTGTTGCTTGAATAGCCATTGGCTATTTTGGTACTGGACCATGCATACTAAGCATAGGAGAGAGGTGGCAGCTAATAGTGAGAAAAGCAATACAGCAAATGCTGAGCTGGTAACTATAGCATTGGTTTTGTAAATACCTATATTAGCATTTCTGGGAGGGTTTGACGGTGAAACTTTTCGAGAGTCTTGGTGAGAAGGTTTCTTAGCTACATCTCAAGATTTTAGGGGTTATGCTTCAAATCCTATTGTCAAACTCAAACTCTCAATCAGTCTCGCTTTTGGACTATCAAAGACATATAGTATAAGTAACCTAGGGGCTCACACCATTTGGCTTCACCTATAACTCAAATATTTTTTTGTTTGAATGATCTTTGAATATCTGTTTTAATTATTTGAGTTCTGGAAACTAATCAGAAATATATCTAAACTGAAGACTCCAAAACATTTCCACCTACAATTACTGGCTATTAGTAACACTTTTAATAACTGCCCTACCATATACAGTCATTTATGGTGGTGTTATGTGCCATATCATTTCATTACGAGCTTATAGGGGACATTTCCCATTAAGTACATCAAAGGTTGGGAGTGCATATAGCATACAGGCCAGGGAAGTAAAGCGTTCAATATTGCTGTCTCAATCATATCTCATTTCTTTATTTTCTGTGTTTGAGGTTGAGGTAAAGGATCCTGTAAAAGTCCACAGGCAGTTATAAATAAACATTAGTCCATAAAGATTATCTGCACAACTGATGTCGCTCTAAAATCCTGCTTTTATTCAGAAGACCACAGTGTACAATACGCAAATACAGTCAATTGATGCTTTTCAGCCTACACAGCCTTAATCATAACGGAGTCAGTTATGATTAAGGCCGTGTCGGCTGAAACGCGGCATCTAACTGTAACATTGGTTGTGCAGATCATCATTATGGACTATTACTTTCAAATGTGCAACTGCGGATCAAGCACCTGTGAGCTCTATTGATACAACATTTAATGGGTAGTAGCACTGGACTTTTTGTTTGTGCTAATAAAGAATGCATGAGCAGGGGGTGTAGTGCCCCTTTAATTAAGGATGCTTTGCTTTTGGACCTTAAAGTGACATACAACAAATAATCATTTACCTGTAATGACATCATTGAGGCTCTTTCCACTGCTGTGACCGCTTAGTAAGTCCGTCAAGCCTACAATGACCAGTCCAGCAATGGTGACCAGGATCCCCACCCATTGACTGCACTCCAACTTCCTCCCCAGGAACGCCACGGACAGAAGACCTGTGAAGATGATGACAGCTCCTCGCAGCATCTGGAAACTGGACGCACTGGTCATGTTTAAGGCTGATGGAATGATGAGAATAGCATTTAGAAGCTTTAAAGAAGATCTAAATCCAATCGCTGGCTATATAAGCTTTAAAATCATAATGTCACTTCAGAAGTTGCTATTAATCTTGGAAAATCTGAAGCTTTTACGTAAATAATGCCCATTGATGCTGCTGTGGAGGCCCTTGTTCATGCACTTTCTTTTATAAGGTGACAGCTGTCCACCAATTTTTGTAGTCACCCTGTCACATGTACCCCAGGTAGTGACTACAAGCAGTGATGACACTAAAAAGGCCGCACCGACCTAGTGCATTATCGTTTAAAAATAATTTATTAAAGAAACAAAAATAGGTATCATACTTACAATGGACATAATAACACAGGCATGTCAAACTGAACAAGATGTATGATCCAAACAGCATCTGAGTCCATACGATGGAACCCTGGATGACCAACTGGCTAACGCGTTTCGAGGACACAACCTCTTCCTCAAACCTGACTGGAATACTCTGAGGAAGAGGTTGTGTCCTCGAAACGCGTTAGCCAGTTGGTCATCCAGGGTTCCATCGTATGGACTCAGATGTTGTTTTGGATCATACATCTTGTTCAGTTTGACATGCCTGTGTTATTATGTCCATTGTGAGTATGATACCTATTTTTGTTTCTTTAATAAATTATTTTAAGCGATAATGCACTAGGTCGGTGCGCCCTTTTTCTGTTTCTCCATTTGTATCCAGTGTATTCGGACCACCCTGGTCTGTTGAGGGCAGCAAGCAGTGCATATTCCAGAAAATTCCAGAACATTCCTATTGGGTCTACTGAGTCCTTTTCTAGCGCAGGTGTAAAGTGTTTGTTGTGAGTGATGACACTAACCCTAAGAGACCCTAAGATGATAATATTACTGGTATATCTAATTGCATTAAGAGCAGGGGCGGACTGACCATTTGGAAACTTGGGCACTGCCTGAGGGCCCGGGATCAGTAGGGGGCCCCATGAGATGCCCCTGGTACCTTTTTCATAGGCTTTTTTGAGTTTGGGCAAGGACACATGGGCCCCATGATCCCCTATTGCCCGGGGGCCCCATGAGTTGTCAGTCCGCCCCTGATTAAGAGGATACATTTGTCATGCCAGTTCTACTTTATAATATCTGTACAGTTACCTTCTGTTTGGCTCCGTGTACTCACCCACATACATGATGCTGGTTCCAGCCATGTCACAGATGGCTGGTCCAAGGAAGATGAAAGGACTGAAGGGCTGAGAAGGTGGCAAGGTGGGCTGGGAAGACCGCTTGTCTTTGAAGACCAGGATGTAGAAGACAGCCAGACAAGAGAGCTCTCCTAAGAACATGCCCACCGCCTAAGATACAAAGAAAAACCGTTCAGTTCATGACTATTGTCTACTACATGGGAACTCCCTGCCATCTACAATGAATTATTCCAGCACTGCATAAAAACAGTTGCTTCAATAAGGCTTCATTCACATGGGCATATGTGTTCTACACATATGTACTGTATATGTGGCCATTCTTCATGTAGAGCGCAGGTTTCCTGCTGGCACAGACTCTGCAAAAAAATAAATATCCAAAGTACTTGTGTTCAGGCGCATAGAATTCTTCTAATGGCTTCAAATGTGTAAGCATATATGCGTTTACTTGCATTTACACACGTAAAATCTGCAGATGTGTACAGTTCCAGAAGCAACTGTCTCCTACTTGTTTGTATGCTGCTAAACGCGGCACATTTGTGTTTGTAGATGCAGATGTGTGTATGGCTCTATTGATTCCCAGTGCTGCGTTTTAGATATGTACAAAACTACATGCTGTACACATCTACGTAAATGCTGTGTTTTAGATGCATGTGTGAAAGAGCTCAAAAGGAGCAGTAATGTGCAAGGTGCAGTACCCTTTATCAATCAGAAATCACAGTTCATGAAACTGATTTTAGCAAACTGAAATCTGATTAGCTGCGCAGGTTACTGTACAGTTGTGACCAAAATTATTCAACCCCCACTGAAATTGAGTGTTTTGGCCAGTTTGACATTGCTTTTGATCATTCAGTCATCTTGCTTACATTTACATTAAAGAGGCACTTGTAGGTCAGACAAATATAACATAACAGTTTATAATGAAATAACCACAAATGTCTTTTCTGTGCTCACAGCATTATCAGTTTTTATTCAACCCCCAAGTGACATTCAATCTTAGTACTTAGTACAGCATCCTTTTTACAGTTATAACAGCTTTTAAACGTGAAGCATAGCTTGACAACAAGTGTCTTGCAGCGATCTACGGGTATCTTCGCCCATTCTTCATGGGCAAAGGCCTCCAGTTCAGTCACATTCTTAGGCTTGCGCACTGCAACTGCTTTCTTTAAGTCCCACCAGAGGTTCTCAATCGGATTTAAGTCTGGTGACTGCGATGGCCACTCCAAAATGTTCCAGCCTTTCCTCTGCAACCATGCTCTAGTGGACTTGGAGGTATGCTTGGGATCATTGTCCTGTTGAAAGGTCCAACGTCTCCCAAGCCTCAGGTGTGTGACGGACTGCATCACGTTTCCATCCAATATCTCCTGGTACTGAAGAGAATTCATGGTACCTTGCACACGCTGAAGCTTCCCTGTACCTGCAGAAGCAAAACAGCCCCAAAGCATGATTGACCCTCCACCATGCTTCACAGTAGGCAAGGTGTTCTTTTCATCATAGGCCTTGTTTCTTCCTCCTCCAAACATAGCGTTGATCCATGGGCCCAAACAGTTCTAATTTTGTTTCATCAGTCCACAGAACACTATCCCACAACTTTTGTGGTTTGTCCACATGGCTTTTGGCATACTGCAGTCGACTCTTCTTATTCTTTGGAGACAGCAAGGGGGTACGCCTGGGAGTTCTGGCACGGAGGCCTTCATTACGCAGTGTGCGTCTTATTGTCTGGGCTGAAACTTCTGTACCCACATCTGACAAATCTTTTCTCAGTTCCTCAGCAGTCACACGGGGACTTCTCTCCACTCTACGCTTCAGGTAGCGCACAGCAGTCGAAGTCAGCATCTTCTTTCTGCCACGACCAGGTAGCGTTTCAACAGTGCCCTTTGCCTTGAATTTGCGAATGATGCTTCCTAAGGTGTCTCTTGGTATGTTTAACATCTTTGCAATCTTCTTATAGCCATTGCCCTTCCTGTGAAGAGAAATCACCTCTTCTCTTGTCTTCCTGGACCATTCTCTTGCCTTCACCATGTTTGTAACCACACCAGTAAATGTCTAGAAGGAGCTGAGTATCACAGTCATTTAAAGCTGCCTAATTGGTGCTTATTATGCTTGATTGCTGCTCGGTGACATCCACAGGTGTTTTCAATACCTGATGGAAAGCACCTGTATGAACCTCTGTTCTTCAGAGTGGTAGTCTTTAAGGGGTTGAATAATTGTGGCAATGAAGAAACCACATAAGAACCATTTACTACTGTATTACATAAACAATTGATGTCATTTTAGTTGCATTTGGGTAGTTACAACGTCCTTGTAGGATTTGATTCTGAATACAATTCCAATGTACACTATAGTCCCTAAACCCCTTTACAGCATTGGGGGTTGAATAATTTTGGTCACAACTGTATAAGTTGCACATCACCACATTGCTTTAACCACATGAAAATGGACCTATGCTGAAATGTTGACAAACAATCAAGTCCAAAAAAGGGTAACAAAATGGAAGAAATACTTACTTTTCCAGGAGAATATGCTGCTCTAAAGACCCCTTCTTCCTTGCTCACAAGCATGAAGCCCTAAGTAACTGGTTATATGATCTCTGCTGAAGGATCGGCCAGTATGAACTCTGATCTTCTCCATCAGAGATCACATGACCAAGTGCCTAGGCCTTCAGACATGTGGCTGGTGCTGAAGAGAGCTTTGAGCAGCATTTTTGCCAGTCCTTCCTAATTTTTTCCATCCTATTATCATCTTCATGATACCACTTTAGTATACTTACAGTAGGTCCACGTTAGTGTTTTTTTCCTAAAGCAACAAATCCACTGAGGATGTTGAAGTGTAATAATTAATCTGAGAGATATTATTATTATACAGGATTTATATAGTGCCAACAGTATGCTCAGCGCTTTACAATATAAAGGGAGACAATACAGCAACAATACAGTTCAATACAAGATGGATAGGAGGGCCCTGCTCCTTGGAGTTTACAATCTAGGATATAAAGAAAATGTGTCAAAAGGCACTTTATAATCCCCAATATTCACCTTGTTGGCTGTTTCCTTGCATCACATCTCTCCATAGACTTAAAATATAACTGCAAAAAAGTTTTTAATTTTTTTTTTGTTTGATTGCTGCCTATGTCACCATTGAAATTCCATCTCACTTAATGTGCTAGTGATAACATCACACAGAAACACAAAAGGAAACCTCATTGTGTGACTAGCACAGATGGAAAAACGAATAGATTTATACATCTTAAAGTGGAACTGCACTGCTTCTGAACAACAGAAACGAAAAAATGCTATTTATATTCATTGTTTCATAGTTATATAGTTAATCTGGCTGAAAAAAGACAAAAGTCCAGCCAGTTCAACCATAGAAAATTTTTTTTTATAATCCTATATCCATATATTGTTAATATTCAAAGCAAACTCCCCCATCCATCCGTGTCTCCATGCTAAATGTTGCTGAGAATCATTTTGAAAAACACCCCTCTAGCATTTCTGGCTGTGGCCATCTTGAGTAAGGGCAGATGATTCATGTAGTATTTACTTCCTGGAATACATCTGCCTTTAGCTTAGGCATTGGCTGAGCTGAGAACCCTCACTCCACCCCTGAAGATTCTGGTATGTATGGCATCATTTGCCTAGGCATGGAAACCAGGAAGTAACTGCAGAAATGTAAAAAAAAAAAGTTTAAAACAAGTAAATATAGTTACATAGTTAGTCTGGCTAAAAAAAAAGACAAAAGTGCTTCCAGTTCAACCATTAAAAAATAAATAAAAATGGTTATAATCCTGCATCCACAGTTGATCCAGAGGAAGGCAAAAAAACCAGCAAAGCATGATCCAATTTGCTCCTGCTGGGAAAAAAAATCCTTCCTGATCCCCCGAGAGGCAATCGGATATTCCCTGGAACAACTTTACCAAATATGACATACCTTCCTATCTATTTACTAATGCTAGCAGCATTAAGGATTAAACATAGTCAATGTTGATTGAGAGAATGAAGTTCCGCTTTAAGACAAATAATGTGTACCATATATACCCAAACATCTGTTTGTCCGAACAGTTAAATAATAAAATGCACTTTTATTACTACTTTTACTATTATTTTGGTGTATTTACATACCTACCTTCGATAGTGACAACACTATCATATAGTGTATTTGAAGGGAAGAAAGAAAGAGGATGAAGGAAGCTACGAAGGATGGAAGAGAAGAAAGAAAGAGGATGAAGAGAAGGGAAGGATGGAAGGGATGAAAGAAAGAGGATGAAGGAAGCTAGGAAGGATGGAAGAGAAGAAAGAAAGAGGATGAAGAGAAGGGAGGATGGAAGGGAAGAAAGAAAGAAGGATAAAGAGAAGGGAAGGATGGAAGGGAAGAAAGAAAGAGGATGAAGAGAAGGGAAGGATGGAAGGGAAGAAAGAAAGAGGATAAAGAGAAGGGAAGGATGGAAGGGAAGAAAGAATGAGGATGAAGGAAGCTAGGAAGGATGGAAGGGAAGAAAGAAAGAGGATGAAGAGAAGGGGAGGATGGAAAGGAAAAAAAGAAAAGGGCTGAAGGGAAGGGAAGGATAGAAGGGAAAAAAGAAAGAGGCTGAAGGGAAGGAAGGATGAAGGGAAGGGAGGGGAAGGGAAGGAAAGGGAAGGGAGGGGAAGGGAAGGAAAGAGAAGGAAGATGAGGGAAAGGAAGATGAAAGAAAGGAAAGGAGGAAGAAGATGGCATAATGAAAGAAGGGAAGGAGGGAAGAAGCAAAGAATGGGACAGAAGGAAGGAAGGGAAAATGGACAGAAGGTGGACAGAAGAGCCAGGAGGATGGAAAGAAGGAAGGAAGGAATTAAAAAGAAGGTGGAACAAAAGAAGAACGGAAGGGAAGGAGGGAAGGAGGGAAGAAGGAAAAAAAGATGTAGGGAGGGAAAGAAGGAAAGAACAAGGGAAAAAGAAAAACCCTATAAATTCCTTTTAAACTTGGAGAAATTTGTCCCATGGTGCTCTCAGCCATTACAGACAAGGATCCAGAAATGTCACTCACCTGAAGGAAGGGATGCTGGAACTGATGAGTTGCTTCATCATTACATCCTTTGGCACTGAAGTTGTCTGCCCACCTACAAAGCAGAAATGTGTACAGTAAGAGGAATATTCTCCATCTTATCCATAAATGCACTTTTCTTGGCAGACCTACCCAGTTGGACATTCCTGTGCACTAAAACACTAGAACCACTTACATGCAGCCCTGCTACTAATTCCAGAATCTGTAGGAAAGCTGGTTGTTTGCTGTCACTGTCACCAGGCCTCACAGCAGGATTTTTGCAAATTTCAGGATCCCAAACTTGAGAAATTTGAGATCCTCAGCTTTTTCAACATTTTGGGAGAAGACCAAGTCACATCACCCTTGGAATATTGTTTTATGTTTTGTGTTCAACCTTTTTTTTTATATCATCTTTATTTAGATTTTCGTACAATAAAATAAAAGGCTATCAACAGCAACATACATGTATCGTGAATATTGTATATAAAGTGCTCAGTATAAGATATGTTAACATAATTAGCTTCCAGGTTTTATTGTCAAAGCTTAATTGAACAAGCTGAAGTTAGAAGCTGATCGGCTACCATGCACAGCTGCACCAGATTCTGAGTACTCCAATTTTACTAAATCTCCCCCAATATGTTGCCGTGCCCCATGAAAGGAATAATTTACAGAGGTATTGAACTAAAGAAGAAAAGGAAAGAAAAACTACATATATGACAACCGTGATATACAACTGTAAGTAACTCTAAGGAAAAAGTACACCCAGTGGCTATGGGTTCCAGTGCTTTCAGAGGGTGTTCCTCTGAAATACTTTGACAGAAGACTAAAAAGAGAACTCTCCATGGAAAAACTGGTGCATAATCCAGTAATGAAACAGTAACCTGTGCACCAGATGTCCAGTTCCCTAGCTGTATAACTAAGTAATTAACAAGACAAAACAAAGACAATAAAAAGTTAGCATTTTGATTGTGACGCAGGCCTGAATCCAGCATGTTAACCTTATGCTAGTGCAGCACCCTCCTAGTGCAGAGTAGCCTGGTGGGTAAATTTAGTTGATTCATCTGTAGTTAGAGGAGCAAAGGTTGATTATTCAGGGCTTCCCAGTTTCTCACAGACTGCTGCTCTCATTGCTCCACCCTGTATTCTAGATGATTTTAGAATCATAGCTTCACCCTGTATTCTAGATGATTTTAGATTCATAGCTGGAGGAAGAACAGAGTGGTCAGCCTAAATATTTATGGAACTCCAGCCAATCTCTGGGAAGGTGTGCCCAGTACGGTAAGGGGAGACCATAAATAGTCTGAGGCCTGAGCAGCAGGGGCCAGAGTTCCTAGGTCCAGTCCTGCTGGAGGAGACCCCTGTACAGGGGCTCTGCTTCTAGGGCAGAACACTAAAAGGTGCCATCAGGAAGACACCAAGGTTCCAGCTAGGATTAGCTTGGGGGCCTATTCATATTCTGTAGAAGCTCACTGGAGAGAGAGCCAGGAGGAGGTTGGTGGGGAAAAGTCTTGCTGTTCTATGGTGATGTGAATCTACATCTTCCTCATTTGGAAGAGCCTGATGGATATCAGGAGGATACATCTAATGATCCTGTGAGTAAGTGACCTCAGTGCTGGAAAGTCAGTGACTGTGTGTAGCTTTTAAACTCTGGAAGGAGTACTAGTTCGCACCATCAGCATAGAGATTCCTTTTTCACAATTCAGCCAGAAAGCTAAGGAGTCCTCAAGATATTCAGTTCTTTAGGTTTTTTTTTGGGTATCCCCTGCTGCCCTTATCCCCATCCAAGTTCAGGGTTCCATTAAAACCCAAAAAGACCCCCCTAGACTGTTCTTTGAGCCATCTGTAGAGTGCTGTAGAGTGTAAGTGCCTTAACCAGGGGACTAGAACCAAGTTCACCAGAGGCTTGTTAGGAGGTGCTTTATACTAATATAGTCGTCTATTCCAGGCACAGTAGGCAGTAGGACAAGAAAAATGAGGAGTTACCAGATTCTATTGAGAAGATGTACTGTGTTCAATGGTTGGTGGAGGGGTCAAAAGTGCTCGTGGGGATGCAGCAGAGGTTCCTGAGTAATGGGAACTATAATGGATCCATGTGGCCCAGATAGTGTATTTCTCTTTAAATTTGGCTATCCATTCCTCCATGTCCATTATATTTACCACCATCTGAATCCAGTCTGATCAACCAGGAGCCTGAGATTTCTTTTCCAATAAACTGGGATCAGATGTCTTGCAGCATTTAAAAGGTTTGGCTGCAGGGAATAGAGGGAACATGTTGTAGATAATGTAGTGGGAAGTCTAGTATATCCACATCTAAGGCAATTTTCATTTGGGTTCTAATATCCAGCCTAAATGAGTGGATTTTGAGGCATACCCACCAAATATGTAGGAACATGCCAGATTGTACACATCCCCTCCAACAAAGCTGGACTGATAAGGATAAATCACAGCCACCTTGGATGAGACACGATACCATACAATGAACAACTGTGTGGTGCAAGTCTCTCTCCCATTTTCAAATATACAAAGTTTTGCTTTCAACTTTTGATTTATGTATTTATTTAGTTTACAGTTTTCCTCCAGCATTTTACATACAATTTAACCTTGGTGCTACCACCTGGTGGTCCTTTAAGTGGGTGTAAAAACTGGAAGGTGGAGGAGGTGATCACATGATTAACAAACAATACAGGTGACAAGAGATTGTCTGAGCAACTATAATTAGCTCCAACCCCAATTTTTGTATATTGCTGATAAGAAGTAAATGGGCTATTTGGTTGTGGTTCTGGAACAAAGAAGAAGTCAGCTTTTATAACATTGGGGGGGTTAGTACAAATGGAGCATTCAGAATCTGGTGCAGCTGTGCTTGGTAGCCAATCAGCTTCTAACTTCAGCTTGTTCAATTAAGCTTAGACAAAAAACTGGAAGCTGATTGGTTTCTATGCAGAGCGGCACCAGGTTTTGCAGTCTCCAGTTTTAGTAAGTAACCCCTATGGTCTTAAAGACACTAAACACTATTGTTGTTCTCCAAAAATAATACACACCCACTACTTAATGACCCTGTAATTTCATTTTCATGTAATCGTTTCTTACTGTGTTTTTTGCCTTCTGTGAGTTTCCAAAACTTTACTTCTCCCCCTCACTTCTGTTTGTTTGGAACTGGCAGTGCACGTTACTTGCAGTCATGTTCACCTCTCTATGCACACTACACGTCCCATAATCCATAGTTCATCTCAGTAGAGGGCATGAAAGGGTGGCTACGTTTCTATATACAATGGGACTATGGACAACAAACGTGGCCACCTTCTAACAGGAAGTCAGACCGCAGCAGCAAAAAAAGGAATTTGGAGATTTGAAGGTCTGAGCAATAGAAGGGACTTTTCTGAGTTAAAAATAAATACTTGGATAGAATTTTTTTTTTTAAATGTCACTTACATAGTTAGTCTGGCTGCAAAAAAGACAAAAGTCCATCTAGTTCAACCAAAAAAAGTTATAATCCTACACCCACAGTTGATCCAGAGGAAGGCAAAAAACCCAGCAAAGTATGATCCAATTTGCTCCTGCAGGGAATAAAATCCTTCCTGATCCCCCGAGAGGCAATCGGATATTCCCTGGATCAACTTTACCTCTAAATGTTAGTATCCAGTTATATTCTGTGTATCCAAGAAACAATCCAGGACTTTTTTAAAGCAATCCACTGAACTGGCCAGAACCACTTTACCCCTTCCCAACAGGCATACGAATATATTCGGCCTCACAGAAGTGGGTCTTTATCCATGGGTTCACATACACTCACTGGCCACTTTATTAGGTACACCTGTCAATTGCTTGGTAACGCAAATTGCTAATCAGCCAATCACAAGGCAGCAACTTAATGCATTTAGGCATGTAGATGTGGTGAAGATGACTTGCTGAAGTTCAAACTGATCAAGATCGGGAAGAAAGGGGATTTAAGTGACTATGAAAAGGGCATGGTTGTTGCTGCCAAACAGACTCGTATGTGTATTTCAAAATCTGATGATCTACTGGGATTTTCACGCACAACCATCTCTAGGGTTTACAAAGAATGATCCAAAAAAAGAAAATATCCAGTGTGTGGCAGTTGTGTGTATGAAAATGCCTTGTTGATGTCAGAGGTCAGAGGAGAATGGGCAGACTGGTTGCTGCGACATTCAGGTGGTAGGGTCAGGTGTAAACAACATGAAAGCATGGATCTATCCTGCCTTGTATCAATGGTTCATGCTGGTGGTGTAATGGTGTGGGGGATATTTTCTTGGCACTAGCAAGGTGTACCTAATAAAGTGGCTGGAGCAGGGGCGGACTGACAACTCATGGGGGCCCCCCGGGCAATAGGGGTCAATGGGGCCCCTGTGTCCTCACCCACACTTAAACCACACCAAAAAGAGCTTATGAAAGGTACCAGGGGCATCATTTGGGGCCCCCTACTGACCCCGGGCCCTCGGGCGGTGCCCGAGTTCCCAAATGGTCAGTCCGCCCCTGGGCCGGAGAGTGTATATGCGCCACTGTTTTTGAGCCCAGTTCCCAATCGCCTGATTGCCATGATAGCCTCTGATTGGCTATCACAGTGATCAGTCAAGAAAGAGTCTCTGTTTTTTTTCTCCTCCTGAATGGGGAAGATACATTGGGGTAAATTTACTAAAATTGGAGAGTGCACAATCTGGGTGTGGATATGCATGGTAGCCAATCAGCTTCTAACTTCAGCTTGTTCAATTAAGTTTTGACAAAAAAAAAAATAGAAGCTGATTGGTTTCTGTGCAGAGTGCACAACATTTTGCTGACCCCAATTTTAATAAATGAATCCATTGCATGTTTTTCTACTTGCTAGAGGAGAAAAGTGCAAAATAAATAGCTAGATCAGGATTTGATCTAGGCCTCGGCCAGAGTCAAGGGCAGGGCAACTGACCATTTGGAAACTCGGGCATGCCCGAGGGCCCGGGGGTCAGTAGGGGGCCCAATGAGATTGCCCCTGGTACCTTTTTGAAGGCTTTTTTGAGTTTGGGCAAGGACACAGGGGCCCCATGATCCCTTATTGCCTGGGGGCCCCATGAGTTGTCAGTCAGCCCCTGGGTCATGGTAAA